ATCTCTCCCTCTCTTTCTCTCTCTCGCTCTCTCACTCTATCTAGCTTTCTCTCTCTCTCTCTCCCTATCTCGTTCGCTCACTCTCTCTCTCTCCCTCTCTTTCTCTCGTGCTTTCTCTGTGATTATCGCTTATGTTCAGTACTGTATTGTCTTTCGTCGAGTGCATATTGGGGTACATACATTTATTTACAAATCGTTGCATAGGATTTTCACTTAAAAAATGTACATAGACCGGGTTTGCACGTTTAACAAACATGGAGGTAGGAAATTAGCATACAACTAGAAATCCGCGTTATTAGAAAATGCTTTTCGTTTAAATTAAAAAAAATTAAAAATACTGTAAAAATTGTTTTTGGTTTTCCACTTTACAGTGTTTTTAGAATTTTAGAATTTTTTATTTTTTTGTTTTCGATTAAAAACGGCTACTAAAACGGCCCTAAATGGCTTTTAACAAAAGTTAATCGTCAAGGGTACAGAGAAATCACAAGGTATATACATAGAATGGTAAAAAAATCAACAAAGACGCTTTGAGAATGTACAAGGACCAATAAACACGCGAAAATTATCACAACGAGAATTTAAACTAAAAAAACTGCCTAGATAACAATTTACTATTTCTAAACGTTATTATTTACATCTTTAAACGATAAATTTGGGAGATTTGGTGTTGGTTGTCGAGAATTGAGCTTCACTGGCGCTGGTGGTTCTGAAAAATACAATTTTTGTTAGACTTAATGTAGATAAGCAAGCTTTATAGACCGAGGCTTAGGCTTAAGCTATTGCTGACTTTACTAAAGCTTTAATCCTCACCTCCCGGTCTTTCTCCCCAGGCGCCGTAGCGCCGGCCCCTTATCCGCCTGCACACCTTGTCAAACTTTTTCCGATGCTCAAGTTCCAGATGCCTCATGGCTGCTGGCTTGGTGGAATAGGAAAGGCTTGACTTGGTGCTACAAAGCTTACAAGTGGCCGACGCTGTGCGCCGAGAGAGATCTTCCCAGTGCCATAGCGTGAAGTACCTCCAGACTGGATGACTTAAATTAGGGGTGTAATTGAGGTTATGCGTGGTAATTTTATCTCTTCCTCCCTCTCTCTCTCTCTCTCTCTCTCTCTCTCTCTCTCTCTGTCCTTCAGTCTCTCTTTCTCTGCGTCTCTGTATCTGCTTCCCTGTCTCTCTCTTTCTCTCTCTCTCTCTCTCTCTCTCTCTCTCTCTCTATCTCTCTGCCTCTCTGGCTCTCCCTAAAACTATCATACCTCCGCTGAATCTCTATCTTCTTAGCTTTTCTATCCCGTGTGATGTTCATCTCCTCCTTGGTGTCAATACGTTGAAGCTTAACCGCACCTAAGCAACCATTAATGTCCCCTGCTACCTCTCACTTACTTTCAGGAAACAAAGCATTGTAACTGTCAACATGTTTAAGCAACTCGAGCAGGTGGTCCATTTTCTTAACCGACTTTCCCATCTTCTTTCTGAAAATCGGGTTTATTTTGTTTATCTTCCAGGTGGAGAGGTTTATGGAAAACAAGAAGATCGTGGAAGCAGCGTAGATCAACGTAGGGATGCTAGGAACATGAGATGACATGCCAATTTCAAGCTTTTTTAGCTAGGGTATTTCCAAGTTTTTTGGTATAACCGCCTTTTTTCAGAGCCTATGCACGAAATGAAAGCTTTCTTGGAAACCTGGATTTTAGCTAATAGCTTCTGGCTTTTGGCTTGTTATGTAGTTTTCAATAGTACCAAAGGGCCTTTGCAGCTAACGATTCGAACAAGCTACATTTGAATATCAGGCCAGACTTATCGATTTCGGCAATCAGTTTGTGATTTTTCAGCATATTGATTTTGCACTTTCAAGTTTTTCAAAGAAACTGGCACAAATGAAGATGTTTCCTGGCGAGGTGGCAGCACAATCATCGAGATTTGCCTGTCGGGTGTATGTTAATAGTTTCAGAGGATTGTTTCTGGGGCCATATTATCGGACAATAATGATGATGACTCGTTATAATTAGCTATTACAAGGTAGATAGGTTTGTTGATTTAAAACTGCCGTACTTGGTGACATACGTTTACTTGGTGACTCTAGCATAGTCTTGACCCCCGGGGTCAGATGAAACCGGAAACTAACGTGGTTGGATGCTTGATGGTTACCCTGGTTTTCACCGTGCAGCTCAAAAATGCTGGTTGCACCCGGCCGTTTTTTACTATCATCCAAAATCTACCTGAAACAATATGCGATTTTTAAAAAGTTGACTCAACATTACCAGAAATTTTAATACTGTTTTATCTCTCTCACTCTCTCTTTCTCTCCCTTTCGCATTCAAATGCTTATGTGCACAATTCGCTTTCAGCGAATTTCAACAACAACTTTACTCTGAAAGTACGCCTTTTTCACAGTATTCCACACTTTTCCTTTCCTGCTTATGAACTCAGTCTCTGTCTCATCTCAGTCTCAAGACTTTTCGAAGAACTTCAAAAATATCTTTAATAATCTGCTCCATGTAAAGTATCACCTTAAGTTTTCCAGGGACTTCCGAACTTCAAAGCCGGGCGTAGGAGTCTCCATCGTGTGAGGAGAGAACGCGGCGAAAAAAAGAGGGGCAGTCAGAGGGGCAGACAGAGGGCAAAGAACAGACAAGAGGAGGTTGAGGTAAAGAGAGGTAGAGAGAGGGAGCGAGAGAGAGACACAGAGAGAGGGCGCCCGCGAGAAAGAGACAGAGAGAGCGCGCTATTTAGGGTTTGCGAGCAAAATTACGAACCAGGCGCGGGAGGCGCAGAAAGGAGTGCGAGCAGCGCGGCGGTTTGAAGCTGAAGATACAGGGGTACAGGGGAGAAGCGCGCGAGGAAGGGAGCAATAAAAATGGCTTGAAAAGCGGCCTACCGAGTGGATCTGGCGCCTGGAAGCCGGGCTTATATAGGCAGCGCCGGGGAGAAGCCACGCCTACTCGCTGGGGATCCAATGGGCAGCTGAGGAGCCCGAGTTTCGAAACTCCGGGCGCGGTCTTTCGCAATGTCCTAGAGAGGGCCCCTGGGGGGCCCTACCGGGGCGAAAGGGGACCGGGGGCGCCATTTTCGAAAGTCCGCGTACAGCCGTCAGTGTAAAGAGGGACCGGGAGGAATGCTAATCCGGAGTGTCACCTTTGGGAAATGAGCACCAGCGATGGAACTTGATGGGGGAATAAACAAAGTAAGCTCTGCCAAACAAAGCGACAGTTGTCGGGGGGAATGGAGCGGAAAAACTGCAAAATTCGAGCCCTTAGCGGGATCTAAAATAAGAAACCAAGAATATACATTAGTCTTACGGTAAGACTCTTACGGACCTCCACCGAATCGATTGCCCGTGTATAGGGAGTGTTGAGGATCGGAGGAGGAACAGGTGGCAAATCCTTCGCGTGGGCATTATTGGGGGTTAATCTCCTAATAGTGCGGATTGCTATTCCCTTTGACACTCAACCATCCAATTACTAATTATTAATAATGCAAACTAATTAACTAATTATAGGAAAAAAGAAAAAGCTGTGACAGAAATGAGATTTGACGTGAAGCCCAAAAGAATTTTCCAAACTCGATTTTGCGATGGAAGGCAAGCACAAAATTTTGCTGACGCGATTTAATTATCTTTCGGGACCTGGATGCTTGAGATCTCCTTATGATGCATCTACAATTTCCTCTAGTTAATTTTACTACGAAGCTTGTATTTTTGTCAAAGTTTCTTGACAATAGATATTTTTTATGAATAATCCATTACATATATAGTGAAATTATTAACAATGCAGAGCTCAACGGTGGTAGGCGGAGCAAAAGAAAGATTAAAATTCGAACTGCAAATCAGACATCTGGATTACCGGCGAGATCGTGGGCATTATGGGCACTGGGTGTTTTTTTAACCAATATCATACTAATGATGTTAGAAAATCAACGAGTTGGAAATCAATGACTTGCTCACTGAAGAGTAGAGTATGTTTTAGAGTCGAAAAAGTAGCCGTCGATCGTCGCAATTGGAGGCCGCTGGTCAATCTGAAAAACTCTTAAAGACTATCAGAACGATGGAACGCGCACTGTCACCCCGAGGGTGCTGCCCCCAAGAACGCGCAAAGAGAGGCGTCATTAGTCGCGCCCCGTAGTGGGCAAAGGCCCTCTCGGTTTTGGGACGCCTCTGACACCCCTCTCCACTCGGACCTGTGGTATAGTGGTTAGCGCGTCGGACTGTGGAGCGGACCATCGCGGGTTCGACCCCCGTCCGGTGCGCAACTTCTTGCTCTTAACAAAATTTTGATCGTTCTGACGGTCTTTAAATTTATATTTTAGTGGCATAGGCATTCAATTTATAATTAACTTCTCTCTCTTCCATTCATTTTTTAAATTTCGGTTTAAATGTCTGTTTTCGCAATGAAAATCTAAAAAGGGATGTGCCATTTTATTTAATTTGCCATGGATTTTTCCGGGTTAGCCAGATTTTAATTATGACAAACTGGCAGGTGGCGTACCATTTATCCCCCAACTCGGTGCGTGCCACTCTGGTGGGCCCGGAGAGCATTCAGGTCGTAGGAACACCGGAAGGTACATTGGTTGCAGTCGTAGAGCTGCAAACCTTATATATAACTCTTAACACTGATGTTACTTTATAGATATGAGATACACTTGCCGCTAAAAATCTTCTGACCTCATCATCTCTCCTGGTGAACAGCCTCAGCAAGTTCATTTTCCCTCGTATCGCCTTCCGCCGCTTTATGGGGCCCGGCTTAGCCGATTCGGTCGAGATGGAATCGAGCTTGATCGGAGAGGGAGGCTCCTCCTCAAATTAAAGATGATAAAAGGTTTTTAGAAATTACCTGTAGCCGTTCGCCAACTGGGTGAACGATGATAAGCTCCAAAGCGGCTTCTAGCGCGCTGGGCACAATTTGCTGTTTCACTGAATTGCCCGTGGTAGCGACAGACTGGAAGAAATCTTTGGGTCTCTCTATCTTTCTCTCTCTCCCTCTGTTTCTCTCTCTCTCTCTCCCTCTCTCTCTCTCGCTCTCTTTCTCTCTCGCCCTTTTTCACCGGATCTATCTGCTAACCTGAACGTTCCGCAGTTTTCCTCTCCTTCCGATATTGCTACTCTTCGCCACTCCATGAATCTAAACCAGTGTAATTCAAGCCGTTTATAACAGTTTCCGGACCTTTTTGTACTCTTCTGGATGTATGTTCTTCAGGTGTCGTTGGGCATCTCTCGCTTTGGCGTATGGGATCGTGAACTTCCTGCACAGTTTGCAAAACGCGTTGGAGGAGCTTCTGGATAGTTCTGGTTGGTGCCACAACCGGAAATATTGCCAGACCGGATGGCTGAAAAAAAGATTTCTTTGAGGTCGAGCGAGAGAGAGTGAGAGAGAGAGCGACAGTGAGAGGAGGATAGGGAGAAAAAGAGAGAAAGAACGAGAGAGAGAGAGAGAGAGAGAGAGAGAGAGCATGATGGAGTGATAGAGTCAGCCAGGGCCAAACGTTTTCATAAAGTCCTCACCCGCGATGAATTTTCCGGCGTTTTTGCTCGTCCAGCTGGTCATTCCCAATAGGCTTGGCCTCTTTGGCGACGTACGGCTTTTCCTCTTCAACTCTTCTGCTAGTCAGTCGCATAGCAGCGATTTGAAAGGAAAAGGCAAAAAACGCGCTGGAATAGAGAATGAGGGCCAGTGGGGCCCAAGCGTGAAAATGGAGAGGGAGCAAAGGATGCTGGCCCCCTGGAGGGGGCCCCTTATATAGGCTGCATGCCTGAGTGGCTTTGCAACGAATGCAAAAATCTCCATTGTGATGCAGGGCTGGCCTTCGGGGCAAAGGTAGATTTTCAAGTCGCAGGATTGGCGTGGCTGGGTCTCTGCACTCGCCACATCTCCAGCAAGGTCGTCTGGAGCCTCTTCGCTCCTTGGGATGTCTTGAACTAGACCAGGGTTATCTAGGTCCTCTTCTCTTAACCTTCTCTCTCACAGCTTCAGCAGGGTTCTCTGGGCCGTCTTTTCTGCCCCTGAGCTCAACATCTTCATCAGAGTCGTCTGGGCCCTCTCGTCTTCCTCTAGTCTTTCTGCGCCCGCCGGGGCCATTCTAGTAGCCTCCTTTGGCTCCTATTAGCAATACATGGGTTTCTTAGGTTTGGGGTTAAGCTTAAACTTAGGCTTAGGCTTAAGCGTGGCTTAGGCTTGGTCTTAGGCTTAGACTTAGTTTCGTGCACATTTTTAAATTCAAATTGTTGTAATTTGGTTATGTATCCAATAAGTTACATAATTTATAAGGACATGCGATTGCATTTTTGTAAATTATTAGGGCAGATCATCGGGGGGATTGTTGGAGAGGTCAATTTGGAGCAACGGTAACAGGGGAATCAGATATTAGAAATTTGCATAAATGAGATTTCCGGATATCGGGGGAGATCAAGGCAATTAAGGGCAAAAATGGCAATAAGGCATATAAATGATAATAAAAAATAATAACGAGGAGTAAAACAGACAAGGGTCGGATTGAAATTTGTGCTTGTAATTTTTCGAATGTGAAAAATTGAAGTTTTTGTACTTAATTTAGACTAAAAATTTCGTAAAATTTCCGGTTTGAGGCAAAAGTTTCTAACTCTTAGGTTCTTAACTGATCCAACTCATTAAAGTACGCTGACTTCCGCCCATCCCTTGAGCAGAGTGGAAAGGAAGGGTTTCCTAAACGACAACATTACCATTACCTAAGACAATAATAGTAAGGCACCAACGGCAAAATATCAAAAATAGCAAGCAAAATACGGGAATTCAAAATACGAAGAGTGAGACCAGTGGGATTCGGCTTGCACTTGTTGTTAACAGACAAATGCAAGTTAATTAGTAAGAAAATCTAAGGCACTACATTCTAACGAACAATAAAAAAATCGGTTCCTATAATTAAAGAGCAGCCGCCAACCGGAAGCACAACCCAAAGTTGGACGGAGCCCCTTCAGGTGGCTAGTTGCTGGCGTGGACGAGGGTCTGGAAATTCGAATATTTTAACGTCAGCGTTTTGTGTATTAAACCGATGGATTTAAACTTACTTACTAAACCTCGAAATTAATAAACAAATAGCCAAAAATCATTAAGATGAATAAGCCAACTTTGAGTTTACTAATTTTTAGCTACGACGCTGGATAGTGATTTTCTTAATGGAATTTGAACCAATTATACGATGTTTTTTGGACAGCTATCTTGAAAAAACGGACCTTATAAGCTCGACGCAAAGTGGACTTGATTCTGCGACTGTGGGTTGGGCTGAAAGAGAACTTTTTCAAGGTCTTCCACAATTCTCTCTGGCACGCTTTCTCTCTCACTCTCTCTCTCTCTCTCTCTCTCTCTCTCTCTCTCTATCTATCTCTCTTTCTCTCTCTTTTTCTCTCTCTCTTTCTCTCTCTCTCTCTCTCTCTCTCTCTCTCTCTCGCTCCTACCTTTTGGCGCTGAACTCGATGCGTCGTATCTTGATGGGCACGGAAGGCGTTTAGGTGATAGGAGGAGCAGAACGTACATAGGTTGCATTCGTAGAACTAAAAATTTAGGTTTAGAAAGTTGCTTTTCGTATTTTTTTGAGGAATTTGTGATACGGGAACTTGATGATGAGCAGATCTAGTGAGTTAGTTAGGTCAAATTAGAAAACTCTCGAAAATCTCGCTCAGAGGCATAGGCTTCGGCCTAGGCTTAGGTCTACCCTTATCCTTAAACATAGGAGAGGGAATATAAAATTTATATTCTAAAATTCTATATAAATAAAAAATAAAAATAAATAAAAATCTAAATAAAAATGATAAATATTTTTAAATTCCACCAGGATTGAAAAGCCGCTGCGCGGCTTTTCACCCCTGGCCTTCGCGCAAGGAATTCTCAAAGTTGGGCACTTTGCATAATTCGAGCGAAGAGCGAGAGCGAACCCAAAAACGGCAAAAGCAACCGGCCGCTAGCGCGACAAAATTGGAAATGAGCCTCCTAGCGCCTCGTATGCAAATGAGAATATTTCCATATGTTTTAAAATCGCTTAAATAAGGTATAAATCGTCATTTTATTAAAAATCTGATAAGCTTGCAGTAATCTACGCCCTCGACTACCCCTAAATACCTTTCGACTGGGCCCTAAAATTGATCCCCCTTCCCGATATCTTGGTAACCCGGTTTTTTGAGCCATTTATGCAAAGTGCCCACACACACACACACACATGAACTATTTTTTTATATATAGTAGGATTTATTTTTGAGGGTAGCAAAGAAAGGGTAGGAGGTTAGGAAACCCTATAAATCTCCTCACCCCATCGTGCCTCTTCGTGAACATCTTCAACAAGTTCTCCATCTCCTCGTCGTTGATTTTGGGCTCGGCCTTCCTCTCCATTTCCTCGGCTTCGAGCTTCGCTTCAATTTTGAAGAAACGCGGCGATGCGGGGGAATCCATTGATATCGGGCTCATTTGCACCGAGCTGCGTGGCTTGGATTCCCCAAATGATTTCGTGTCGATCGGTGGCAGGTTGTGGGGGCTGAACAGCTTCTTGTCGCTGTATAGCAAGTCGGGACTCGCGAACTGCTTGGTGTCGATGGGAACCGGGTTGGCTGGATCGAACCCCTCGGTATTGGCAGGAGCATAGTGGGTAGGCTCGACGGGACTTTTATTGAACGGCGGCAAAATCGTTGGGTCGAACAGCCTGGTGTTGACGGTTGACAAAGAGTTGGGTTTGAACTGCTTGGTGCCGTTCGGAAGCGGGGTGGTTGGTTCCAAGGGTTTGATATTAACGGGTAGATAATTGGCAGGCCCGACCAGCTTGATGTCGGCGGGTGGAAAGATCGTTGGCTCGAACGGCCTGTGGCCAGTGGAAGGCGGGTCGTTGAACAAGTAAGGCCTCATGCTGAGGCCGGCAAACTCGTACGGCCTGATGCTGACGCCGGGGAAGTTGGCATGGTCGAACGGCCTGTCATTGACGGCTGGCAAGTTGCTAGGCTCGAACCGCTGGGCGTTGACGGGGGCCGAGTTGACGTACTCCTGGATCTTGTATTCATCCATCGCCGGGTGGAAGACGCTCTGCAAAAAGCGCTTTTAATTTCAGATCCGCAAGGCAAAGCATGAATTTCTAACCCGAACCTCAGTGTTTAGAATTTTCGAGCTTTTCTAGGAAAACAAAAACAATTTTTCGACTTACCGTGCTTTGTAGCATCGCGTTCTCCGTCCTACTTCCCTGGCCCTTCATCTCGGCGGTGGTAGGCACTGGAGTATAAATATATTTCATTGTTTTTCTCGGAAGCTGCCACCCGTCCATTAATGTGACTCACCTGCCCGTGGCCTGCCAAACGGCCCATAGTGATGTCGATGCCCCGGTTCCGCTTCACATACCTAAGGCTTCATGTTATTGATGGAAGACAAAAAAACAACCTTCAGAAACTCGGGTCGGTGGTTTCCACTAAGATGTCCCTTCGCGGTGGCGGTGCTGGCTCTGGGGAACCTCCGTCCGCATAACTTGCAGTCAGCCATCGTCTCGCTGTAGGGCTCTGCCGGCTCTTTCCACAGCTCGAAGTACTCCCAGACGGGGTGGCTGAAATCGCGAGGATTGAGCCTTAGTGACGTGGGTACGCTCCAGGCGTTTTGTTCGTTCCAAACTAATAAATTGCGAATTGTATAGGTTCTACATGGTGCGTCAGAGCGCGAGTCAGTCAGGTTTGGTGCGTCAGACCTCACCACATGTGGTTCAAGCCATAAAACCATTTGGAACCATGCTCAACGAATTTTTTTTCTCCTATTACTCGCCTTCGCTCCACCATGATCTTCTCTGGCTGACTCGCTTTGGGGCGCGGCGGTGCGGGTGCCTGGTACATCTGGTGAAATCGGCTGGCTTGGCTCGAGCTCGGAACTCCATGAAGTGGAGGTGGCGCCATGAAGTTTGGCGGTCCTTGTGGATACCACATGTAAGGCGCTAAAAGGTATCTTCAGTGTTTCGAGGCGAGACTTACCATGGGGAAAGCGTTGCTTGTATGCGCTGATCATGGCATTTGGCATTGGTATGTTCGGCATGGGCATCGGTGGGTAGTACGGGTATGCCGGGACGGGCGGATACTGCCCGGCTGGGTACATTGGTTTGCTGGGTATAGTCTGAAATTCCGGGTTTGGGTTGGGTCGGATTGAAACTTCATAGAATGATGGAACACATAACTAAATTAGGAATCAAAACCAAAATTCTCAAAATAAAACAATCAAAGAAAGGAGAAATTGCTTCGTGAGAATCTATTTTCCACCTGGGACCAGCCCTACCTTGTGCAGAATTTTTTGCTAGTTCAGAACACTCAAAGCTGCCCAAAATTTTAATATACCCGTTTTGCCAATTTCGAGAGCAGTTTAGGAATCAGCGCAAAATTCTGCACAATAGAGACGCGTGGAAACGGGCTGCCACTAAAAAAATGGCTCCTTGTTAGAGGTTTCTTTCACCATATTTGACGCATAATACGCTCTGTTACTGTAAGTACGACTTGTTACTCTCCTCAAAAATAGAGGCGATGCAAGAGGAGCACGAGCTCCATGTATCGTATGTTCCGCACGAGCATATACGCCTAATTCCGCCTGAATACGTCATTTAGCATGATTCTCAAGCCAATTATGGTTCGATGCATCACACATCAATTTCACGGCTATGCAATGGTGTTTTTGGGGGGTTGCATTCAGACGAGGCGTCGGAAAATAATTGGTTCGTTCAGGCACTCATTTTTCGGCTTTCTTCCCAACGGCAAGGACCTGGCGTTTTGATAACATTGTCTGGTTGTTCAGATCCACAGATAAGGCTCGCTGATTGGCATGCCCATGCAGACCGGCAACATTGTAAAAGTGATAAGACGGTACCGCGTTGCTTTGCGATTTATTATTTGGTGCACCAAGCACATATCCTTACTTCTCCACCGTCTCATGCTCCTCTTGCCGGTCGTCCTCCAGGGGTTCGTCAGGGATAGTGGGTAGCAAGTGCAAGCGAGGTATGGCAACTTGGAAAAAAAACAGATTTTTCAGGAAATAGGTACCTAAGGGTTTAAGCGGGGGGCTAAGGGGGTTAGAAGAGGTTACTTTAGCTCTAAAATTAGCATAGATTTTTTTTCTGCGCCCTCGTACATGAGCCCTGATCTAATGGGCCTTCCTTATCCCTTTCACGCGCTGAGCAGGTGCAAAAAACCATGGAAGCGCAGACGGACAGCGGGCAGGCAACAGGGAGGTACTGGGGAGGAAAGTCTGGGAGGAAAGCTAGAAAAGGAGGGAGCCCGAGGTGGCTTGCCAGCTGGGAGCACCAGCCTTATATAGGCAAAACTAGGCTCCGCCCTTTGGTGTGGTTATTGGCGGGAAACGGGGAGCATCAAGGGCGTCTATGAGATCGGGGAGCGTAGATATTAGGTTTCTGTCGGCGGCTGGAGCTCAAGTGCACCCAAGGGCACTCGAGGGTTGTCGGAGAGCACCCGGGTATAATTGAAGTGGGAGGGGGCGGAGCTAGGCAGGCCACGCCCACTTCGTGATTCGATTAGGGGAGTGAGTAGGGGAATGATACGAGTGGAGCATGAATGGGGAGAGCCGACTGCAATTATTGCCGTTCCAGTTGAATGCGCTGGATCCAATTTTGGGAGACCGACCGCTCTTGACGATGGAAAAATATGGAAAAGTGAGGGGTGGGACAAAACTAAACCCGAATCTTTCAGGACCTATAAAAAAATTCATTAAGAGAATAAACTGAATAACCTTTATTAAATAACCTCTTTTTGACCCTCCATGAAATAGAGTATTAGTAAATAGAGTATTAGGCCGCCTTAAAAATACTAAAAACTAACTAAAATATTCAAAAAAAATAGCTTTTTAAACCGGGTTTTTTATTTTATTTTTGCTATAACTTTTTGGTCTTAGATTGCTTTGAGCTATAATTCAATATTTTATCTATTCGTCATGCTCTATAGCATGCAGTCAAGAAGATCCCGGAAAATAGCCAAGAAGCGATCAGCTGCATTGAATTTCGCGCGTCACAATCGCTTAAAAATATTGATAGTTTATATTCCTGTCTTTATACCGTCCATTAATGCTCTGACTGCAAAGTTTCCAAAAGTTTTTCTTGGTTTTTTAGCGATTCAAAGTTAATTCAAATGTCTGCTTCATAAATTTTTCAACCAGCGTTGAAAAGCCGCTTCGCGACTTTTCAACCCTGGTCCCGTCTAAACCAATAATATTTTTCACTTTGCATTCTTGCATACGGTTCTCCATTCCTATGTGAATAATGAAAAATGTCCCTCTCTAGCTCTTCATATAGGCTCCCGCCACTTCCGCTTTATGCAAATTGTTTCCTACCAAAGAGGGTTCCCGATTTTGCAACAAAAACATAATTTTAATATCGAAAACTACTGATTTTGTAAAATCTGATATGCGCGCAGTCATCTCGTGGCCATTACACACCTAATGGCGCATCATACGTAGACTAATACCCTTCCCTTCCTGAGATATCCTCCGGACAGCCTGACGGAAGTTGCAAGCAAAGTGGCACACACACACAGACACTACTTTTTTATATATAGTAGGATTTTTGGAAAGAAAGCTAACTGTTTGCAATAAATGGAAGCTTCGCCATATCGACAGCGAACTAAAGAAATAGAAATTAGCAACCAGCGGCAAAAAAATTTCTACAAAGAAATGCCAAGCAGCTGAGCTCTGTCCGACACTTTTGTACGTCTGCAGATGAATGAACGCTGTTGCGCAACACGCCCAACTCGTACACGGTCCCAGGGCGGCGCGCAGCAGTTGGCCCAGCGATTAGTTGTGAGGAGGTGAGGGCACCGCATCAGGGTCAAATGATCACATCGCGTTGTTTTATGGCTATCACAACGCGCGCAAGTAGAATCTCGGAAGACCGGTGGCCTGGAGATATCTTTGGTCCCTACTTTTTAGAGATGACGCAAATTTGGAAATAATAAAAACTTATGCCAAGCAATCAGGCTTCGCCGCTTGAGCTTACATTTAGGCGTAGACTTACTCTATGGCTTACAAGGGAACCTCACGGAGACATGGTGGAATTTCGGAAAACGCTCGCGGCTACCCCCGGGTAATCGACCATTGCGATCACGATGCGCTTGTCAGATTTTTCTAAATAGACCTGTGGACAGAGATACAGCACTTCCGGAAAATGCTGATTTACATGCAAAAGATTTGCATAGAAGGATGGTTTATGAGGCTCTCCCATGACTATGGAATCACCAGTTGAATGGCCGAGTGGTAAGCGACTCACTTGGTAGGATGCTGACGAGGGTTCGAATCCGCTCATGATTTTTTGTTTTTGCTTTTTGCCAGAGATTTTTGTAAGTCCAGAATGTTACTAGTAATAGCCCGAAATCCCTAATGTTTAGCCATTAAAGGCAAAAAAAATCGCAAAATAAAAATCAGTTCTGCTGGCTAGAGTTCCTACACCTGACCATCTGCAAAAAATGAAAAAAATTTCACAAGAATAATTTTCTGACCACGTAACGTCGACAACTGTCATAAAATTTATAATTATTTTAGCACGTATGATTTTGGACTTGTACAAAAATCTCTGGCCAAAAAGCAAAAACAAAAAATCATGAGCGGATTCGAACCCTCGTCAGCATCCTACCAAGTGAGTCGCTTACCACTCGGCCATTCAACTGGTGATTCCATAGCGATGGGAGAGCCTCATAAACCATCCTTCTATGCAAATCTTTTGCATGTAAATCAGCATTTTCCGGAAGTGCTGTATCTCTGTCCAGAGGTCTATTTAGAAAAATCTGACAAGCGCATCGTGATCGCAATGGTCGATTACCCGGGGGTAGCCGCGAGCGTTTTCCGAAATTCCACCATGTCTCCGTGAGGTTCCCTTGTTAGGATTAGGCTTTGGGCTTATGCTCGGGTGGGGCTGGAGCTTCGGCTCATGCCTAGTCTTGGGCTATGACTTAGGTTAATGCTCGGAACCCGAGGCTTAGGCTTGGGCAAAGGCTTAGGCTAGAAATATTGTCTAAAAACGCGGTAAAAACAAGTAGCAGCTTTAGAGGTAATGAAAAAGCAAACATCGAACAAGATATAGAGCTTTTTGAGAACAAGCTAAATGAAAGGACGTAGAAGCCATTTTTACGCAAATTATTCGGCGTTAATTTGCCAACGATAGCCTTGGTTAAATCTATGTGCATTTTGGAGGCGGGTGGAGGCGGACGTAAGTAAGGCTACGCCAAGGTGATTACGGAGGGGATTATTATAGAACTATCATCCAATTAACACAGGCCGAACATAATGGTGGTAGGGGTGGACCTTTGTTTGAACTAAAAGGAAAATTTTATTGGACTACGATACTAAGTGTATATTATATTAACGGTAACCTTGTTGCAAGTATGTATAGTTGAAAATGAGGGTGCAAATTACCGTAGCTAAGTGAAGAAAAGGGCTTTTAAGGTGAAAATAATGGATCTTCCATGGCAGTCGAAGGACCGGGGGGAGATTTGCTACAATTGAGTCATTTTGCTTACGCGATGTTTGTCGGGACGGGGTGAGAGGGAGAAAGAGGGAGAGAGAGAGAGGGCGAGAGGGAGAGAGAGCAAAAAGGAGAGCAGAAAGGGCTAGGGGAGTCCGACTCAACAATGCTGACCCCATCTATATTGCCAACCTTGCTCCTCGCCGGCCGTCACAAATTACGGTCCAGTTTCAGGCTTCAAAATTGAAGGAAAGGGGTCGGCTGTTGGCAGACTCGTCCGGGAGGGGGGGTGGGAGTCAGAAAATTTTGGCAAGCGGAAACTAACTTACAAAAAATAGACATGAATCTTTGAAAAGCTCGAAAAACGGCGCCGCGGACTTAAATTAGCATGACAACTGTATGAAATAGTCTTAAACACAGTTATACACAGAAGACCTTATAATGAAAAAAGCATATGGGTTACGCCGTGCACCCCTATCCCCTCCGCCGTACGGGCCTGACTATTAGCAAAGCCACAGCAGGGGGCCGTAGACCATGAGACACCTCAGCGGGTGGTATCAGGGGGCGCTACGGAAGAAAGGACATGATTTTCAATCCAAGGCGTGATGGATACCTAGAACGGATGGTCGGGCATTAACCGGATTTC